CAGATGCCTTCACCACAACTGTACCAGAGTACCAACCGCTGTCTCCTGGTACTCATCTGAGTAACTCACTCACTAAAAATGAAATACTATATGACAGTAAAACAAGAATGTTTAAAAGGGGAGTGATTTGTAAAATATCCATAAAGAAAAAGAAAATCTGCTTCCAGCAGAGGTAGCGTTAACCGAATATATTCCGTCTATGACGGATTTCTTTTAACAATGACAGAAAGATCTGAAAGCTGTCTGTCATTTTGACGGATTAGAACAAACTCAGAACAGCGCCAAAGTTTCCCCGCAGCAGGGCTCCGGTGTTATGCCTTGTTATGGATGGCCGCCAAAAAGGAAATGATATCGTTTCTATACCTAACTTTGCCGTACAAATCATTGAAATGTCTGGGAGTTTATGCTTTACGCTGTGGCGCGCTCCCGCAAGGTGCAGTGGGCATGCATAACACCGGTGCTAACAGTTCACGAGCGTGCTCTCCCCCCCGTCAGTTGTGTACAGACCGACGGGTAATAATGGATTTTGATGAAAATGTTACGATCCTGTCCGTCAAAAAGTCTAGCGCAACCTCTGACCAGAGCATAGTCCTTTCACAGTCAGGCTCCTGTCACCATATCTTCCTGAAACCTGTATCCAGATTACAAAAGGAGAAATCTTCAGCTTGTGGCGTTCCGGAGCCTGTCAGCTGGCCTGCCGTGGAGCAGGGGGCATCTCTGGGTCCTGGGGAACACACGACAGAATGACATGGGCTGTCCAAGGGTAATGCCCTTTTGCTCATAATGAGACGTGGGCTCCTGATCCCAGCTTTTACATACATCATTTCCAAAAGGTTACCTGAACTCAGGGCTTTACTTTGACACTACTGAAAAAAACCCTCTTTATTTTCTTTCCTTTTTTGTCAGAGTGCCACTGGAGGAATTTTTCTTTGATTGGAAAGTTCACAATTGTTCCTTTTTATGATCTCATCTTTCGGTACTGCTTCTTTGTCTGCATTAGGTGTAGCTCCTTCAGGCCTGGTATCTTCGATGAGGGGCCCAATCACAGAAACTTCGCCCACAGATAACGTTCTGCTCTTAACGCTGTGCCTCTCCTCTCGGGTCATTGTCGGCTTGCCCAGAACGCTCCTCAGCTGTGCCCAGAAAAACGCCTGCAGGTTGACCTGCTGGGGCCACTCCAGGTATGTCTTGGTGCTGAGCATCTTCTTCAGCCTGCAGTACTTACTGGGAATGGACCTGGCATCCATGGGCTCCATCATCACAAGAATGACATCCCCAAAGGTCTTTCCCATCGCTCTCTGCTGAGTGAAGTACAGCTCATAGTTGCACCACTCGCTGTTCACAAAGTGCCGAGAGAGGACGAATATTACCTGAGGACGGAGACACAACAAAGAAAGGAAAATAAAACATGAAGTACATTGCTTAGTAATATTTCCGTGTGTTGTATTTTGCCATGTAAAGAAAAACTCAATGTCGGTACCTTACGGCTGCTTTCGATGTTGTCAATGATGTTATCGATGATCCACTTTCCTGGCATGAAGTCCCTCTCATGAATACACAGACGATAAGGGTTCTTGTTGTTCTCCAAACTGGGTAAGAGCTGTTCCCTCACCCAGTCTGCATCAGAGTGGCTGTATGATATAAAGGCATGATAAGTACAATCCTCCAATTCCCCCGCCGCCTTTTCCTTGTGATATCTGTATTTGGCCCGGATGATCTGATACGTTGCTTTAGTGTACCACGGCAGGTCAAAAATATAGCAAATCAGCATTAATATCAAGATCACTGCTGCAGTGGTCACCACACAGATGATGATCACTAGTCTGGTGTCACAGGCCACTTGATTTGGGAAGAATTTGGATATGACTGTGTTTAGCAAGGCCTCTGGATGGTAACACCTGTAGTTCCAAGGCCAGTCGGTCAGGTTAACCTTTGCCTTTGAAATCGCATCCTGGACGAAAGCATGGAGTTCACAGGTGCAATGGAAAGGATTGTTCCCTGCCCTCAGCTGAGATAGTTGAGGCATATCCTGGAAAGACGCCTTGCTAATTAGACCAAACGAATTCCCATCCAAAGATAGTGACTGCAGTGACTGACTTTTCCACTTAGATGGTATATACTTTATTTTATTTCCACTTAACAGGAGCTCTTTCAGGTTGGTGGCTTTCTCAAAGTACATCATGTCCAGCTGGTCGAGGTCGCAGTAGGACAAGTCCAAGTACTGCACCGTGGTGGGCAGACATTGGAGAGCTTCACTTACAAATGGATTGTGGTGAGCTATGATCCTGGTGATATTTATTTTCCAAACACAGTCCTGACTTTTTTCAGCAGATCCCATCTGGTTGAAGCTCAAATCCAATACATGCAGCTGCTTGAACTCCTTTGTTAGCATTGACAAGTCTCTTAAACTTGTCAGGACATTTCTGCTCATGTTGAAGGTGTGAAGATTTGGCACGGCGCCCCTGTAATCACACCGTTTGTTAAACAGGAACTCATTATTGAGACGATTATTGGAGGCATCCAGTATCTCCACAACTTCCATATCAACCCAGGCATCGCAGGGAACGGAGTTGAAGTACACATGCTGAATGGACAGTTCCTTAACTTTGTTGAACCAGGTGAAGCTCCAGTCAAATCTCAGGATATCAGGGTTGCTGATATACCTAAAGAAATAGAGATTTGTTTTAGCATCCATTTATTTTACAGGTAATTGTGGTAGTATTCCAAGTCAGCTGTAAACATGATGCAGTATGCTACATAGACCAAGTGATTCATTTTAGGAAATATATTTAAAAGGGTTCAGTTAGGGTTAGGGTTAGGGTTAGGGTGAACAATGTGGTCGATGTAGCTACTTATGAGAAATCGAATTAAATGAAGGCCAAATAATTTAGCATCGTGTGCTATTTGACTTTTGTTGCACACTGGCTATTTAAAGTGGACCTATCATGCTATATTTGAAAAATATATTGTAGGGCCATGCCTATATGAAACATGTCTGTGAAGTTTTTCTTTCAAAATACCAAACAGTTCACCCATTGTAGCCATGCCTCATACTGCTCATACCCCTCTTTTGAAGCCCTGTTAGAGAAACGCGGATCTTGGGTCCTTAGCTTGAAAAAAAGGAAAGAAGAGGAGGCGGAGCTAATGCCTGATCAGAATTCTACCGGAGATGAAGTTAAATTCTGCTGTGATAAAACGCCATCCTGTTCCAAACCACATCAAGGATTATTTCTGAAACAGTATGGAGCTCAAATGCTTTTTCTCTTGCAGGTTTATCACAAGGTCTTCTCCTTTTTAAAACACATGTGCTCTCCAGTACAGGTTAGCTCTGAGTGTTAGCGAGGCTTGCTAATGTAAACAAAGACGAGATTACGTCCAAAACATGTCAGGCATCTTCTGATGGCAACTTTCTGTGGGTCCACCAACGTCACAGCGGATGGAAATCTGTATCCGCTCGTTGTACACCCGTTTTTAAAAGATTTGGGTACGGAGGAAAAGAGAGAGGGTTCTATTTTCTGACGCTGCGTGAGTTCCCCGACACACCGGGGACACATATTTATGGATAAAAGAATATTTTGCATGATAGGTCCCCTTTAAGGTTGTATCTAATTGTTTTTGCATTTTGTTGAAATTGTCAAAATAGTATTTCTAGCTGCATTTATTATTGTGGTAAACGGT